GAATACAAAGTGCTGGCGGCAATTAAAATTAACTTAGATGGCACAGTTTCAAGATGGATTTCCGCTTCTCAGATGTTCTCAGATGTTCTTCTGCTCGTAATTTCTTGTGGCATCAGCTCGATGTTAAAACCGCGGGCCCGGGCTCTATGGCAGCGGCGGCCCCTAATTAAATGCCTGGCGGAAGAGCTCCGTCTTTCAGGCCCTGCGGGACTGTGAAAGGTACCGCAGGGCCCGGATCTCCTCCGGGAGCTCGTTCCACCAGGTAGAGGCCGCCACTGAAAAGGCCCCGGCCCTGGTAGTAGCTAGCCTGGCCTTTCTCGGGCCAGGGAGGGTCAACCGATTTTGAGACCCAGACCGTAGTGATCTCTGGCGTATATTCGGGGAAAGGCGGTCCCGTAGGTATGTCGGACCCCGGCCATATAGGGCTTTAAAAGTAAGAACCAGCATAGCTCTAGAGATTAAGACATTCGAATTCCTTATGATGAGCCTTTTTTGAGCTCAGCCCAGTCCATTATACAGGGTGGCACTGTATGTGGCGGAAAAGTGGGCACGCCATTCCCTCCTCTGCCTTGCAAGTGACGCAAGAGATGAGGAAAGCACCCCACGATGGCCATCAATCACACGGAGGCCTCGCCCGTGTGGTTTCGCGACCTCAACATGGGGGCACAGGGGTCACGCCAGCAGCCCCTCCTTACCGGCTGGTGTTGGCACGGTGTGCCTAGCTGGCACGTCATCTCATCCGGGTGGCGGAAGAGGCAAGGACGTGCCCTCCTCCTCCACCATGCGAGGAGGACCGCTGCCCTAGGTAGGGTGCCGTATCAAAAGTGCATTAGCAGAGCGTAGTTTATGCAAAAAAAAAACCCAAACCCTTGTCTCCGGGTTAATCTACAGATTAAATGAAGGGAATTTGCATCCCTAACGACGCAGTGGGAAGAAGGGGAAGTCAGCAGCTGGGACGAAGAGCAGAGCCCTGACAGCTAGAAAGCCCTGCCCGGCTTAGTCCTTACCACATCACTCAAACTCTGCCCATGTATTTCCCAGTAGCTGTTGCTCAACGTCAGTGTTGTCTGCTCGATCTGCCAGCAGATTTCCGGGGTCTCAGGCAGAGGTCTTTCAGGAGTCCGGGTCATCAGCTACGAAGCCCACCGTGGCCTCGGACCCCAAATCTATAAGACCACCTTTCCTGCTATGCTCCTCTGTGGCACCATCACTCATGTGAGCAAAGCCTTTGGAGCACATGGACACCTGGAGTTGTCTTTTACTAAATCAGGCCCCATGGTCTGTCAAGGTCCGCACTGTCAGAATGGGGTCACAACCACCGTTCTCTCTCATCGAGGACTAACTAGTCCTTTTAACTGGGGATGCCAGAGATTGAGCCTGGGAACAGTGTTCCCTCTAAGCTGAGTTAGTGTGAGCCAGCTCACAGTTTTTTAGCCCCCGGCTCACACATTTTTTGCCTTAGCTCAGGAAGGATGGCTCCAGAGCAGTGTTCCCTCTAAGCTGAGTTAGCGTGAGCTAGTTCACAGTTTTTTAGCCTCCGGCTCACAAATTTTTTTTGCCTTAGCTCAGGAAGGATGGCTCCAAAGCAGTGTTCCCTCTAAGCTGAGTTAGTGTGAGCAAGTGCACAGTTTTTTAGCCTCCGGCTCACACATTCTTTTTGTCTTAGCTCAGGAAGGATGGCTCCAAAGCAGTGTTCCCTCTAAGCTGAGTTAGCGTGAGCTAGTTCACAGTTTTTTAGCCTCCGGCTCACACATTTTTTTTGCCTTAGCTCAGGAAGGATGGCTCCAAAGCAGTGTTCCCTCTAAGCTGAGTTAGTGTGAGCTAGCTCACCGTTTTTTAGCCTCCGGCTCACACATTTCTGTCAGCTCAGAAGCAAACTAATTTATGCAGCAGCCAAATCGCTCGCTCACAACTTTCATGCCTGTAGTTCACAAAGTAAAATTTTTGCTCACAGGACTCCACAGCCCAAAACGAGCATTGCCTGCATCCTTCTGCATGGTAAGCGGATGCTCCGCCACTGAGCAATGGTGTGCATGGATAACCTGTAAGGAAGACAAGAGCAGGGTTTCTGTGATGCCCGACAAGGTTTCTTCTGCCCTGTTCTGCTTCGTCCCCAGCACGCAATAGGCACCAGTCTTCCTTGAACATAGCTGTAGCCAGTTTGGTGTAGTGGTTAGGAGTGTGGACTCTAGTGTGGGAGAACCCGGTTTGATTCCCCACTCCTCCACATGCAGCTGCAGGTGTGACCTTGGGTCAGTCATAAGTTCTTTCAGAGCTTTTCTCTCAAGGGCAGTTCTCGGGAGAGCTCTCTCAGCCCCACCTGCCTCACAGGTGGTCTGTTGTGGGGAGGGGAAGGGAAAGGAGTTTGTAAGCCACTCTGAGACTCCTTCAGGTAGTGAAGGGCAGGGTATAAATCCAATCTCCTCCTCCTCCTCCTCCTCCTCTTCTTCTTCTTCTTCTTCTTTTTCTTCTTCCTAGACCTGATTTGCCAGCAGGGCCTCCATAGCTAAATGCCAGGGGTCACAAAAGGATCCTTAGAGCCTGTTCTCTCTACGTGCCCACACACACGCGCCGCGCACACACCCTCTGTCCCAGCAAAAATCCACAGGTGTAGGAAAGAATCGTTAACACCCATATATGAAGTCGTTTTAAAGAGGGTGTGTAGGAGAACTTCCTGTATGAAGGTGAATGTATGAAGTGGCAGGTAGAGACACACCACGGAAGGGATGGGATATTCTTCTTTCCCCACCCACCACAGGAAGGGATGTAGGAAGAAATCAAAACACTACTACCCATACAGTTAGCGCATGCAGGCTTAGAACAGCATTGACAGCAGTGCGTTTCCAGACTATGCCGACAGAATTACTCCTGGGACGATACTTAAAAATACCCCAGGAACAACGTATTTGTATCTGTAAAACGTCTGTGGAGGATTTTTTTTCATTATGTCACGGTCCGCCCATTGTACTGGGAACCGAGATATAATCCTTGACTGCAATAATAGATCGATTGGGGGGGAAAATTCTGACACTGATAAATTAATATTTCTGCTGTCAGACGCAGACCCTACAGGAAACTGTAGGGTAGCACTCTTCGCCTTAGCGGCTAGTAAAATCAGGGCCAAGAACACAGAAAAATGAAATTGAACTGTAAAACGGCAATGTTTGAGGCTGTGTATGTGTTTCT